TTGCCCCTTCACTAATGACTTGTTTACAAAGAATGAACCGTGACGTTGTTAGGATGACAAACAGATGATAACAGTGTTAATAAAACTGGTTCAAAAGTGAAAAAATCGAAAATTGTAAACATTGCACAACACAAAACAACTCACTGCAGAGTTTTAACACTGCACACCGACACCTTGCACTTTTTGAGTGTTTTTGCCTCGGTTTTTGCACTTTTTTAGATTAGATAAAAACCACGAAATTGCAACATGAATAAATAAATACTCGCCGAAAATCTACAACTGCATCGGCTGTTTGCTTTCGCCGTAGATAAATATTTATGCTCCTCACACGTCATTTTCGACATGCAATTGTTGAGATGAGGTGGTGGCGCCATAAGGAGAAAAACAGGAAGCGATAGATAATTGGGTAAATTATTTTGTAATAATAATTATGGCCACCTACGCGACGCTAATTTCGCTCAAGATAAATATTTTGCCCAAATTCTTCAACTGCAACTTAAAATAGCATTCTGGTGATTAATTTGAAATCGAGAGTCGAAAACACATTCTTATACAGGGCGCACAAATTCAAAAAAGGTGTAAAAATGAATTAAGAAAATTTCCATTAAACATAATAAAAAAAAGATGTGGCAACGTTGCATAATGGCTGCAATTACAAACATTGTTACCATAACAATTAAAATTAATACAGTGTTGTCACATCTGCAAACGATTTTTTTCTAATTTAAATACATACTACTGCAAGATAATGAAACCTTGTAGCTTCAGATTTTGTAAAATACAGGAGGTCCTGAAAGTCGCGCACTTTATTGAAAGGGAGTAATTGGGTAGTCTCCCAGAGTACTAAAAAATGTTTAAAAAATTCTGTCAAAAAAATTTGACATTTATTTTTTGACATTTGACATTTTTTCTGCCTATTTAATAATACTGATGTTTTTTACAATTATTTAGTAAAGGTACAAAAATTTTACCAACAAAAGCCACAAATAACATTGAACGGAGTTACAATTTAAGATACAGCTTCCTTCTCCTAATAAACTATAACAAAAAAACTTGGAAAATTATTTTCCCAACAAAAATAGTCAAAGTGGAAAATTTAAACTCTCATAACTTCGAAATTTTTATAGATAGATTTTTTTAAACACTTTTCTTGTTATCTAGGGCATCGCCCAATGATACAGTGTCACGGAAGTGCACGACTTTCAGGACACTCTATATGATCTCAAGAATTATTTTTTCCTCCTCAACAACGTACCACTGAATTTGTGCGTCACTTTTTGATCAACCTGTATTGTAAAAATTGTGAAAATAAATCCCCCACCCTGAACGTTATTTCCCAGTTGCCGGAAAACCGAGTCATTTCCAATGACAGGTTAAAATTCATCAAAACAAAGCAGATAAAAAGCTTTTTGTGAATAAAAATTCACACGTGCCGGCTTATCGCAGTGATAAGGATTTTTTTTTTCGTTTTGTTATTGCGATCATGTGTAGGTACGATGATTTTATCATCGTTTTGTTTACGACAAATTCGGTAATGAATGAGTTTTCTGCAATATTTGTGACATGAAACTATGAGTCACAATGTGGCAAGGTTGCCACTTTCTAATCGTGATATTATTACAACAAACTAATAAAATGTGAAAATGAGCTATTGGGAAAAAGTTGCAGTTTTTAGATAGGAGAGATAGCTGTTATTGCAAAAGTTTTATGGCTTTTTGACAAGTCTTATCTCGGGGAAAATCGCAACTAAAATGGCAAAGTATGCATTTCATAAATAAATGTTAAAAATAAGAAAGTTTAATAAAATACCTGAAAATACATAAAACTCAAATTGTGAACAAAAAATACAAGGAATGGTGTTTTCATACTTATCAAGATTAAATCAATATTTATTTTCAGAAATTGTAGGCTAAATCCTGAGAGATTGACTTTTTCACACGATAAAAAAAAGTTTGACATTTGACCTTTTTATGTCTATTTATTGTTACCGATGATTTTATTTAGTAAAGGTACAAAAACTTTGCCATAAAAGCTACAAATTACGTTACAATTCAGAACACATCTTCTTTGTTCAGCAAAAAAACACGTAAAATTATTTTTCCAACAGAAATAAATAGTCAAAATGCAAAATATAATATAAATTCTTATAGATACAATTTTTTAACATTTTTTCCATATTTCTGGTACCTTATCTTACTTGGCATTTTTCTCTGGGGCGCGAGTTCTGAAACACCCCTGTATATTTTTTTGGTATACAGGATGTTCCGTCTAAACCCCACATTAGAAGTATTGAGAGTTTTAACAAAGATATTTATCTAAAATTTTGTTTATAGCCATAATCGGTTAGGTCCTGCTCAATGAAAATATTTTCGAAATGGCGACACTTCCGGTTACACCGGAAGTGGGTATCAATTTCGTTATTTTAAATAGAAAGCTATGTTTTTTATTATGTTTTTGGCTTACTCAAGGGATTTTATTAGTTTTCATTAACCTTCTTTATAACCAAGTTTAACCGTTTTCATTTAAAAAAAATTGCATTTGCATCGTCCTGATTAAAAATCGATAACTCTACCATTTTTAAATACAGTGAAATGGTATTTGGGCATATGAAAGGGAAAGGTTAGATCTTTCCTTTGGAGTATTCATAATTGGAAGAATAATTAACCAACCCCCAAAATTTAAATTAAATCATGATATGAAAAAAAACATTCATTTGAAATTTGGTCCATTTCTCCCGGACTTACCCTATTTTTCGTGACATTTTCATGCTAATTCAACTAAATCAAAGCAGCAATAAAATATTTCACAAGACAAGTAACAAAACTTGTCAAAAGATTTTTTTAGCCAAAAGCAATGAGTTAAAGAAACAGAAATTAATTAAATGAAGTCTTTAAATTGCATTTAAAATAGTTGGATGTAGTCTACTCCATAAATTCGCTTGAACATTAACACATAGTAACAATTGGGAAAAAGTCGCAAGTTTTTAGATAGGAAAGATAGCTGTCATTGCAAAAGTTTTATGGCTTTTTGACAAGCCTTATCTCGGGGAAAATCGCAACTAAAATGGCAAACTATGCATTTCATAAATAAATGAAAAAAATAAGAAAGTTTAATAAAATACCTGAAAATACATAAAACTCAAATTGTGAAAAAAATACAAGGAATGGTGTTTTTATGTTTCTCAAGATTAAATCAATATTTATTTTCAGAAATTGTAGGCTAAATCCTGGGAGATGGACTTTTTTCAGACTATACTATACACGAAAATTTTTTTTGACATTTGACCTTTTTATGTCTATTTATTGTTACCGATGATTTTATTTAGTAAAGGTACAAAAACTTTGCCAATAAAAGCTACAAATTACGTTACAATTCAGGATACAGCTTCTTTTTTCAGCAAAAAAACATGTAAAATAATTTTTCCAACAGAAATAGTCAAAATGCAAAATATAAACCCACATAATTTCGAAATTCTTATAGATACAATTTTTTAACATTTTTTCCATGTTTCTGGTACCTTATCTTACTTGGCATTTTTCTCTGGGGCGCGAGTTCTGAAACACCCTGTATATTTTTTTTGGTATACAGGATGTTCCGCCTAAACCCCACATTAGAAGTATTGAGAGTTTTAACAAAGATATATATCTAAAATTTTGTTTATAGCCATAAACGGTTAGGTCCTGCTCAATGAAAATATTTTCAAAATGGCGGCACTTCCGGTTACACCGGAAGTGGGTATCAATTTCGTTATTTTAAATAGAAAGCTATGTTTTTATTATGTTTTTGGATTACTCAAGGGATTTTATTAGTTTTTATTAACCTTCTTTATACCCAAGTTTAACCGTTTTCACTTAAAAAAAAATTGCATTTGCATCGTCCTGATTAAAAATCGATAACTCTACCATTTTTAAATACAGTGAAATGGTATTTGGGCATATGAAAGGGAAAGGTTAGATCTTTCCTTTGGAGTATTCATAATTGGAAGATAATTAACCAACCCTCAAAATTTAAATTAAATCATGCTATGAGAAAAAACATTCATTTGAAATTTGGTCCATTTCTCCCGGACTTACCCTATTTTTCGTGACATTTTCATGCTAATTCAACCAAATCAAAGCAGCAATAAAATATTTCACAAGACAAGTAACAAAACTTGTCAAAAGATTTTTTTAGCCAAAAGCAAAGAGTTAAAGAAACAGAAATTAATTAAATGAAGTCTTTAAATTGCATTTAAAATAGTTGGATGTAGTCCACTCCATAAATTCGCTTGAACACTAACACATAATAGCAATTGGGTCCGAACAAATCGCTTTGAACATATTTATAATTGACTTGTACGCGAGAAGAAACGAGAAATCTGGAGCCAGTTTGTGTGAAGTTTATTATAAAAATGCGTCGCATTCGCCTATAACAAAGCTCACCTTAAAAATAACACACTTTACAGTCGAGAAAAAATAATCTAATTTGGATAGCTGGCTTCGTTTGTAAACAAAATAATAAAAATAGCGACGTTTAAAATTGTCTACAAAAGCATCAATTGACTGCAGAAAACACACAAAAGTTGCTTTTCTCAATAATTTGGAGAAAAACATCTAATATTAAAGCACCTTCAACTAACCTGCAAGAGATAAATTTCCAATTTGTCACAACTATTGTTAATAACTACCAGATTTTCAAACCGCTGCCAAATTTGTTGTTTATTAAAGCAAGAACTTTATTATTACACTACAGTTACATTTTCCTATTTTTTAAATAAAAAATATGAAAAAATGCAAAAAACTTGAACAAATCAAAACGAATCCCAAACTTTCTACATTTAAATATTAAGTTATTCAACAGAAATTTTATTCAAGTTCCGCACAATCGCCAATGGCCAATAAACAACACGCAATCCGGAGCAAATGACCTTAATTGGGTAATTACAGTCGACGCTAATAATTACATTGTCCAAGAAACGCCGAAAGACAACAATATTCAAAAATTCGATGAGGGCTACTTACGGAGTGGTCATCCTTGTCGGGCACTTCCTGGGGGAAATGGAGTTGATATCTGCAATAAAAACTGTGGTTAACATCACATGACATGTGTCTGAAGTGGGATTTAATCGAGGACATCCTCATAAAATTGAGAAAATCGATAAATCACTTCAAGCAAATTCGGGACAATTGGAGACATTCACAACTATTAAATATTATTAACTAGGGTACGTTCGGGAGAGATGGACCGCATTTTGAAACACCTCCTGTGAAATTAAGTCATGAAAGGGTCACTTTTTGCGGATAAATTAAAATATGTATTCTGATCTGTAAAAGTCTATCTCTCCCGGATTTACCCTATATTTGATAGGAATTCAGAGACTCGAGGAATTCAGAGATTTGAGCAAACGCTTAGGAAATAAGTGAAAAAATAAAACATTTTGAGAACAAAAAAGCTTATAACTTCACGTTAAAAATTTAAAAATATTTCAAAACTCTGAACTCGAAGTTCTAAAAGTAAGTTGAAAATAGCCAATTTGAACATTTTCAACTCTAAAAACCTTAAAATTTTAAAAACCAAATAAAGTCCAGCTCTCCCGCTGGTCCATATCTCCCGGCTTTACCCTAAATAAATTCAAGCAATTTTTTTTCCAATTTTAAATAATCGTTAAATTATAAAAATAAATATGCATAATATAATAAATAGTCATAATGACGTCAAAACACAGTTGGATTCTGCTAAGCTTCATAAATTTTATCATTAGATCAAAAAATTAAAACTTTTGGAAAAGTATCTAAAGCACAATTCATTTTATAAATCAAATTAAAAAAATCAGAGTTGTTTATAGTGTCCACTTCAATATTTCACATTTTTATTAAACTAAACAACTTTTTTAAAACTAAATTATAATTAATATTGATCAGACTTAGAAATAAAAAAAGTTTAGATATAAATAATTAATTATTTCATATTATGTCTTCAAAATTTCGTACCCAATGATTGTTTGAGTTCGCAGTACCGAATTTTATTCTTAAAGTAACCAAATCAATTTTTCATAATTTTGTCAAAAATATGAAAACAAAACTTTAATTTTTGAAAAAAAAAACACATTAATTGATTACTTATTGTCATTGAGAATTATTTTAAATATGAGAATCCTCAAATATTTAGACGTAAAAATCCCAAAACATTTCACATAATCTGAGAAAAATTTAAATTTTCTTAAATACTCAAAATTACAAAAAATCCAAAAAAAAACTCAACATAAATTCTTAAAAAATATCAACAATTAAAAAATTGCCAGGGAAATTATTCCCAAAAAACACCAAAATAGCAATTTTGAAGTGGTCTTAAATTTAAGCTTTTCTTAATTCAGTATGTACAAAAATTTTCTAAATATTTAAAAACACTCAGAAATTCTCATATATCCTGGAAAATTACGTAAAAATTAAAAAAAAATATATTATTCAAATTAATCAACACAATCTTGATTGTTCAAAAACGATTTTTATCATTTATTAAGTTATACAGGGTGTGTCAAAACTCGCGCCCCAGAGAAAAAAAGTAAGATAAGATACCAGGAACATGGAAAAAATGTTTAAAAAATTCTATGTCAAAAAAATTTGACATTTGACTTTTTTATGTCTATTTAGTGACACTGGTAATCTTGTATATGTTTTTTTTATAATTATTTAGTAAAGGTACAAAAATTTTGCCAATAAAAGCCACAAATAACATTGAACAGAGTTACAATTTAGGATACAGCTTCCTTGTTTCCTCTTCTATTAGCTTGTAGCAAAAAAAACTTGGAAAATTATTTTTCCAATAGAAATAAATCGTCAAAGTGCAAAATTTAGGCTCTCATAACTTCGAAATTTTTATAGATAGATTTTTTTTAAACATTTTTGCCATGTTCCTGGTATCTTACCTTAGGTATAGTACACGGCATTTTTCTCTGGGGTGCGAGTTCTGGCGCACCCTGTGTAATTTGAATTATTTTGGAAAAGTTTCAAAAACCTTAAAATATTCAAAAAAATTTAATTATAATCCGAATCAAGAAAAACAAATATCGCTACAAATCGAGACATATTTTCATATCAAGAACCTTGATTTCATTTATTGCATCTTTAACATATTTTGAATTTTATTCTTAAAGCAACAACTAAATTTGACACCAAATCTGACTACAGAATTGCAAACTTTAGACTTTTTGTTTGTTTTATCACTTTTGTAATTTTTCATGGTAATCATCAAGAAATCGGCAATTTAAAAAAAAATGTATTTTTCATGGTAATCATCAAGAAATCGGTAATTTAATGAATTTAATGTCTTTTACATTGCACAGCAGTGTTGCCAACAATAAAATAGAAAGTCTCTCTTATTGAAAACTGCTAATTGCTACTGTTTTTTTTTTTCAAAATTTTGCACGAAAATAGAGGGGAAATTTGTGGCCATTTGGCGCCTCACCAATGCAAAATAAATCGTTTAAAAGAAAAATTCACTTCAAAGCCAGTCTCGACCTCGAATAGCAATGCGAATAAAAGTTCAAGTACAATCGCAATAATGCATTTTGCCAATAAAATTATGCATCGGCGTGATTTTAAATGCGATCAAATTGGCATAGTTCAAGTTTAAAGAACTCTAATTTAAACAAGAAAAACTCGCACAATGATTGTGTGAATTTTATTAATTGTGATGAGTTTAATTAGCGGCGCCGATGAAGTAATTGATTTATATTTAAAATTGTGTGTAATTTTAAATTAAAATCAGATTCATGTCAAAGGTGTTTATGAGGTCAACAGACTTGTATACTGATAAAATAACATTAAAATTGTCCATAAATAACACAAGTTATTCAAATAGGCGCCTTCTATATTACAAACTGACTTTTACAACAATGTATTTCTTATGTTCTCTGTTTTTTAATACAACAAAACCAAACTGTCAAGGGTCAAAAATGAAAAAACTAATTTACAAATTAATTAACTCTTATTTTGTTTCTCAAAACTAATTCAGTGTTGTTCACCTTTTTGTTGATAACTTATCGGAAAGTGAAATTTCACGGTCAAACAATAAACTGTTACGCCACTGGTTTTCTTCACATCCTTTTATTAATTCGATGTGTGTATGACGCCGGATGTTTACTCTGCCACTTGACCAAAAATTATCATAATTGGGGCCGCAAAGACTCATTAGTGGAAAAAAGGGCAAATACTAAACGCAAAAATAGAAGTAATTAAAATTTTCCGCTCGTAACATAAATCAATAAAGTGCCAGCTTGTTAATTTTTTCAATCTGATAACGATTTTTAAATGTTTTTGGTTGCTTTTTGTGCTAATTTACTACTCAAATTCAAATTCAAAATGAATCAACAAGCGGTTTAAGATACCGGTTTTTCGCACCAAAATGGCACCAGAATAATAATCAATGAATTAAACAAAATATAAAACACAAAATGTTCTCTTTTATTCATTGAAATTAAGTTGGCAACATTGAAACAGACTGCTCAATTTTGATCGGTAACAATGAATTGTTGGTGTTTCAGGCGACAGGTGACGACGGTCCCGTCAGAAATGAATGACAATTGACTATAAAATTGTGACGTTTGAATTTGATAGCCAGTGTTGCCACATTAAGATTAAGTCATGGGCCAAAAATTCGTATAAAGTCTCTTTTTTTTAAATGGAAATTACCAAGTCAATTTTTAAATTTGAGATGTCAAAATTTTGACATTTATGAATCTTGTGTGCCAGTTTGCTCTTTGAAAGTTCTACCGTGTGATCAAAAAAATAATAAATTAGGCGGTGATTAAAGTCCTTCAGATGACGATCCTGATTTTTGACATCAAATGTCAAACACTTTGACAAGTTTGCGTTTTATTCATTTTGAGTGAAAAATTTTTATTGTTGCAAGTTATTACAAAAATGCTGTACAAGACGAAAACGGTGAATGGTCATTTTTAGTTATTTCACTTCTATTTTTATTTATTTTGTATTCTTGTCAATTTTTTGCTAAAAATTGATAATGTTTAGCAAATCTGCATTACAAATTTTAATGGGCCCTTTTTCTAACTTCCTACTTGCGAACTTTTCGTTTACAAATTTCTAAAAACTGTCAGCGGCACCGAATTTGTTCCTTTTTTGGTGTTTCGTCTCTAAATTTTCTTAGACGATTTTATGTGTTGACGTTTAATGACATTGTTTTCAAATTAATTCAAAAAACCAGAACTGCCAACTTCCTTTATTAAAATCACCATCAATGAATTTACTAGTGGTGCCAACGTTAAGACTGTTTGGCATTTCCATTTAAAAAAAACAGAGATACCAACATTAAAAACGAAAAACTGCGAAACTGTACGAACAAAAAAAATGTCATGCTTGAAAAGTTTCAAAATAGGAAAGACATGTAATGAAATCATTGACCATAAAACAAAAGAATTAAGACATCAGTTTTGTTTTTCTTCACCTTGACATGAAATTAAGGAAAATATATTTCTCAGTTTCCCGTTTCCTGATTGCGAGACAATCAATCATCGGCTTGAAGAGCAACAAGTCGAAGGTCGATTTTGGCTAATTTGAGTCGAGTGAGACACAAAAACAAGATATTTTTTACAAAACGCCAGGTAAAAAGACGAAAAACACCTGGGGATGAGCTTATTGTGTCAGAATTGGATCTAACGGAGCTTTGGAATTCTCACGGTGTGATTATATTTACAAAACAAAAATTGGAGCTTTTCCCCTGTTTTCGCTGCTTTCAGACGAGTGCTTTTTTACCTGTCTTATTAAAAATTGTTTGCGTTTACTGTGCTTCAATGAGACATTCAAAGCTTGTGGAAATGTTAGACAGAAGTGAGTACAGTGCCAAGTGGGGGAGCTAAGAATAATGAATCACTTAATCTAAATTCTATAATTAGAAATAGGAGCCGGTAATAGACAAAGTTATCCCATTCGAGCACAAAAGGGGCCAAAACTGAGTCAAATTGTATTTTTTTAAACGAATTTGAGTTCACACAAGACAAAGCTTGTAATTAAACTGGTAAAAAACTCAATTACTGAACCGAGATTGAAAGTTCT